AACTCACTATGTAGACCAGGTTGGCCTTGAACTCACAGAGATCTGCCTGCCTCTGCCTCCCAAGTGCTGGGATTAAAGGCCTGCTCCACCAGGCCCAGCCTCTTGCAAATTTCTTGAACTTAAAAAAAAAAAAAGATTTATGTATTTTGTAATTGAGAGAGAGAGAGAGAGAGAGAGAGAGAGAGAGAGCATGACACATGTATGCAGGTGCCTGTGGAGGCCAAAAGAGGATACTGGATCTCCTGTAGCTGGAGTTACAGGTGGTTGTGAGCCACCTATAACCCAGTGTGGGTGCTGGGAACTGAACTCCGGTCCTCTGCAAGAGCAGCAAATGCTCTTAACTCCTGAACCATCTCTTTAGCTCCCAACTTGGTAAAATAACAGTGAGCAATTTTCCCTTCTCCCCTTATAGGCATTGAAGGTGAAGTCAATGCCTCAAAAGCTGGCTGGAGTGAGGCTGAGATCCACGAACCACCTCAGTGTTGAATTAGCTTTGAGGTCCTAACAGGAAGGGAGTGTTGGTTGGAAAATAGGAGCAAATGCCCATCAGAACTTGGTAAGAAGAGACGCTGAATCTCTGTGTGCTGGGATGGGACCCAGGGCTAGGCACACGGCCACTGAGCTGTACCCCCAACCCCCAGACTTACTCTGAAAAGCATTGTTTCAGGGTCATCAAAAAGTCCTTGCCTGGTCTGGGGCTATAGCTCAGTGACAGAGCACTTGCCTAGCTCTTGAGCAAGACCATGGAGCCTCAGGCATTGTTTAAAATAAAAAAGCATGCTTTTATAAAAGTTCCACATCACAACACTAGTTTGCTTTCCCTCCTACAACAGCAGTTGAAACTGTATTTCCTTCAGCACTATAATGTCCTTCAAATTTATCTATAGACGTCAAGAAAGAAAATTTAGTATGAAATTTTTTTTTTTTTTGTCTTTTTGAGACAGGGTCTCCCTGTAGTACCAGCTGACCTGAACTCACTATGTAGACCAGGCTGGCCTTGAACTCACAGAGATCCGCCTGCCTCTGCCTCCAAAGTGCTGAGACTAAAGGCATGCGCCACCACGCCCAGCTAAATAATTATTTTTAATTATGTCTATGTGTGTGTCTATGTGTGGATATGTGCACGTGTGACTGCAGGTGCCTAAAGAGTCCGAAAGGCAGTATTGGATCCCCTGGAGCCAGTTACAGATGAGTGTGAGTTGCCTGATGTAGATGTCCTCTGCCATAAAAGACAAATTTTTTAAAATTCCTAATTCTACTGATCTCTACTAATATCAGTATTAGTAGAATACAAAGTATTACATAACACAAAAATCTATACATACATCTAGTACTTATCACAGTGATGTCATATCACATAGCCTCTGGAAAATTCTACCATATGCTCATGAGAGTGAAAGAGGCAAATAACTTAATAACTTGTGACAAACCACCTAACCATACAGTGTCTGCTTACATGTATAAGGAATTCCCACATCTATTAAGAACTTAGTATTTGGGGGCTGGAGAGGTGGCTCAGTGGTTAAGAACATTGGCTGCTCTTACTGAGGACCAGGGTTGGGTTCACAGCACCCACATGGCAGCTCACAACCATCCATAACTCTAGTGCCAGAGAACCCTACACCCTCTTCTGGCCTCTGCAGGCACTGCACAGCAAGAGAGCACTATATACACACAAGCAAAATACACATAAAAAAATAAACAAATAAAAAGAACTTAGTATTTGACGCTAACATTGCATTTTTCAAGACAAAACTCTTAAGAATTCCTTCAAACACAAGTCATCAATCTCTGACACCCAAAAGAAGTTATCTTTACCCCCACTGGTCAAGGTTACCCAGTGGCTTAGAAAACAAGCTATAGGGAGGCAGTGTGGGGATGAAATGTGGCCGTGTGCCATCTAACAACCTGAAATGAGATGACACCTCAAATAAAATATATCAACAGCAAAAAGTTGAGGCCTTTTAGGAAAACCTGACCCTGACTCACCAACAGTTAAGTCCCAAGTGAATGGCACAGCTATGCCAGTGAGTAAGCATGGCAGCCTTGTAGCCCCAATGTGCTGACAACAGTGCTCAAACCAGAACTCTCTGACAAGATTAAGAGAAAACACAGTTATTCTGGAACTCTTTTAATATGCAAATGATCTGTGCCCTCTCACTGATAAATCCCTGAGTGTTGTTAGGTCTGGTCCTCACCATGACCTGACCTTAACACAGCTCAGGAGCAGACTTCACAGAAAGCAGGAATCGAGGTAAAGCTAAGGAATGAGGGAACAAGAAGGAAAGGGAGGACAAGGAGGTGGAGGAGCAGCAGGAGGGAGAGTGTGGGCTGGAGCAGCCCTACTCCACTGGTCAGCGCCTGCTCCTGCCACCACGCTCTCCTGATGCCCAGCTTCTCTACTGCTGCCCTGAAGAGTAAGCAGAAAAGAGCTGTCACAACTCCATTAGGGTGTGGGAAGGCCAGAGTGGGACGGGGGTAGGGGGAAGCAACAGGACCCCAAAAGCTTTTTTGATTTTGTTTTTTTGAAACAGGGTCTCATGTAGCCCAGGTTGGCCCTGAACTCTATATAGCTAATGACCCTGAACTATTCTCCTGCCTCAATCCCCCAAGTGATGGCATGGGCCCTCATTTGGGCCGGGGATCTAACTCAAGGCTTTATGTATGCTAGGCAAACACTCTACCAACTAAGCTATATTCCCAGCCCCCCAGCAAATATTTCTAGGAACTAATTTTAAGATGAAAGTGAACAGCTCAAGCAACATAATTTTAGCCATCATTTCGCTAAAGATAAAACTCTGGCTAGTAAGGGAATTGAAAGCAGGATGTGGAAGAGACACCTGCACACCCATGTTTGTGCCAGCATTATTCACAAGAGCCAAGATGTGGAAGCAACCCAAGTGTCTGTTGTGGATGGATAGGCAAACAGAATGTAGTATACAATACAATGGAATATTACTCATCCTTAAAAAGGAAGGAAGGCTTGTCACATGAGGAGGCATGGGTGGACTTTGAGGACATTATGCTAAGTGAAACAAATTGGTCTCAAAAAGGCAAAATTTTGTGTGCTTTTACTTATTTGAGGCATCACAATCGTGGACAGAAAGTAAAGTGGGAGTCGTCAGGGGCTGAGGGCTCCGTGGAATGAGGAAACTGTTTAAGGTTGCAGTTTCCAGTTTTAAAAAATGAAAGGTTATGGAGATGAACAGTGGTAACAGCAGCACAATGCTGTGCCCAAGCTTAATAACACTGAACCTGACACCTAAAATGGTTACAATAATAAATTTTACATTATATGTATTCTTACCCCCAGCACCCAAAAGAACAGCCAAGAGTGACAGGCTCAAGCTGTCCAGGAACCCACAAGCGTCTTGGCTGACACTGGTGACTGTGGACAACCATCAGAGGCAACAGGGAGTCAGAGGAGAACCACCCGGGACAAGCAGCATCCAAATTCCCACAGCCCTCCCTGGTGACTGGAACAGCCTTTCTTCTCCAGCACCTGTGAGGACCTTCCACTTCTAGTGCTTTCCAAGTCCAGCCTCAGGAGAAGTCAATCTGTCCACAGGAGGTGTAGTTTCCAAAGCTGTCTACAGTGAACCGCTGAGAGATGTGAATGGACTTGAGCTTCAGGGAACCAAAGTAGAAGTTCTCAAACAACTGAAAAGGAAGAATTCACAATTCAGTGAAGATCTAAACAGAATTGCAGATCAGAGTGTCAAATATCAGGATCTCTTTTTAAGACACTGCACCACAACAATCCCAACAAACATCCCCTGTTTATCGTTTCTGTATTTATTCTGAATAATGATCCTAGAGAGGTGGGATGGGGGTAGAATGAGAAAGGAACAGCCAGTTCTTCTTTCTGAGAAAATGCATTAGAAAAAAGGTTGCAAAGTCAAGGTTAAAATATATCTCTTGAGCAGACATTACCAAGAACTTGTAATAAACATCCTGGGGCACAATCAGTTTCCTGGGGCTTGACAAAGCTGCTTCTGACTTTCAGTTACTAAACCAAGTAAAACCCACTAGTACCAGAGTTTGCTAAGTTCGCATGAAACTCCACAGAGCACATTCCTCTACCTTGTCAACAACTCTTACTAGGAGCACTGACAACATAAGGAGAAGATGAAGCTCCAGGCCACACCTGATAGGGACAGGGGACACTCCAGTGACAAACAATCAACACTCAAACATGCAAAACAACTAGAGGAACACTGGATGATGAAGGAAAGGCACATGATAATGCTTATGGAAAGCCTTTAACCAGAGGGGGATTCAGGTCAGCAGCCTCCAGGAAGTACTCCACAGGGCACTCTTCCACTTCATGAAAACTTTCAAGAGCATTAGAGGAAGGGAGGACCTGACCTTGTGATTAGAACATTCAGATGGCAGAATCCCAAGTGACACTGGAATTCACCCCAAGGCACACTGCTTGGATAAAGGGTGTCAGAATAGTCTACAGCCATAACCCCCTCAATGATCTCAGAAGCTCAGAAGTGTGAGGCCTGGTTAGTACTTGGATGGGAGGCATGTAGAAGAATAAAGGGCTTACCTTCTGTTAGGAGGCAAAAAATTCTGGGTATTTCAGTAAGGCCCTGAGAAAGCATTCCCTTCTTTTCCTTGTTTGGTAGGTTTGAGCCCAGGCTCTCCCTGAATGTGCTCCATCTCCAAGACACGCCCCCAGCTCCAAGCAGCCTTTCAATGCAAGTGCCCAAAGATGCTTGAGCAGAATCTAAGTGTAGAACATAGCTCTGCGCATGGGCAACTGTCTGTGTCTTCACTTATTTTTAAAGCAGCTCCCACACCCATGAACTGCAGACACTAACACCTTTCCTCTTCCTGCAATTAATGGCCTAGAACAATGCCCAAGGTTCATTAAAAGCTAAGTTTACAAAGTCCAGTAAATATTGATTCTTCAACATGACATCAGCTTGACCCCAAAGATCTATTTAGAAGCTAGCTGTGAGCTGTGCTGTCCTGTCTTTCTAAAAGGTGACCAGCTCTCGCCGGCACTGATGCACACAAGCAACTCTGCTTCCTGGCCCAGGCAGCCTGTGCAAACCATATCCACCCTTTTTTTGTAAAGAAATCCAACCTGAAATGATTACCTGCTAATCCCTTTGCTGAACATTAATTTGAAGTGAAAGCTACGTCAACAAGACTGACAAATTTACAGCTTTGCAAACTGAAGCTTTCTAAGTACAGAAAATACAGAACTAGGAAGCCACAACAGGCGGATGGAACAAAGCAGAACAGGCCCCCAACATCTGCAGCAAGATGCTCTAGAAGAGCTGGTGGCCTGAGTCCTCTACTGTCTCTTTGTGGCCTCAACCCGGTGCTGGAGGTGTTCTACCTATGACCATGCTTTGCCTTGTGGGGACCTCCAGACAGTAGGATCTGCCAGGAAGAACCTTGCTACATTGAGGGTAATGAAAGGAAACACAAGCATGGTTGGATGTGACTTCGATTAGGAATTTATGAACATTAAGAGAAGCTGCAACGTAACTTCTGCACTCCACAAAGGCCCATGCAGGCTGTGGAAAGACATGATGGCTATATGACACCACTCACTGTGCCAACCCCATGTGGGACAGATGATCACAACAGGCAGAGGTTCAATAAGACAGGCAAAAATGCCTCGTGAACTGTAAAGTGCTAGTGAGAATCAGGATTTCTTGTGGTCTTTTTTAAACTTTCTCTGTTCTCTTTAATTATGTATTTATTTTACACAGGATGCCCTGGCCTGCTCTCAGGCCTTTTGGATAACATCACAAATCCAGTGGATTTCTCATACAAGCCCCCAGCATAGGGCTGACCCTTAGTCCAGTCTTTCCTATCTGTGTTCTTGTTCTCTCTGAACAGTTGTGATGACTTTGTAATAGATGATTTCCAAGCAATTTCTCAGTTACTTTATTGCTTAGTCACTGTTGTATTTTTAGTGTGAAGTCTGGCTGTCAGCTCTATCAGCTATTCCTAGTGACTCATGAGAATGGAACCCTGTGGAGGGAGGCACTGATTCCTACATGTGCTGTAACAGCATCTAGTAGTCTTCATGGGACCAATAATATTTGCTGGGCAAAATGACAACTAAACTAATGCCATAGATCTCTGAATGTGTCTACAAGTCCAAAAGATAGAACACAATGATGTGTGCTTGTCTAGACTAGAACTGAAAGTCTAATCTGTAAGTTACCATCAAGGACTCTCTGACAGCATTTACCCAAAATTGTATCAGCTCTCACTAAGCTGGGGGTGGGGAGGGTCACTAGATTCTAACTGGCTGTCAAGAAAGAGCCTGAGTTGAATTTCTGCTTCCTGTCTGTCAATAGCTAGATCCTTCTCTGGGCTCAGTTCCTCATGTGGAGTATCACCAAGGATGGACATTCTCGTGCAGACGCACATGGCATGGCTCTGTCTCCCGGTCTTCAGGAGTCAGGGAGACAATCAGAAGGCCTGCAGAAGACATGGTTGGGATCATCTGATGAAAAGGCTGCTGAACACTCTACTCCACAATCTGAACACTTCCAAACATATGTTCTACTTCAACAAAAATGTTTACCTACAGCCAGCTATGGCGGTGCACACGTGTAATCCCAGCATGCAAGAGACTAAGGCAGGTGGATTGAAATTTTGATGCTAGCCTGAGCAACAGGGTGAGATCCTGTCACATCAGATCTGATATGTGTGGTAACAGGCATGGGCACTGTTATTTCTCAGTCTGAAACACCCCCCACCCCACCCCAGACTCATGCTTTGAATGTTTTCCCCTAGCTCATGGCACTGTTTTGGGACACTGTGACTCCTTCAGAAGGCCTGGCTGGCAGAAGCAGATGAGTAGTTAGGGCAGGCCTTTGATGGTTACAACCTAGCTGCTAGCTGGCCACTCTCTGCTTCCTGGTCTGTGACGTGAGGCAGCTCCACCTCACACTTCCACCACCATGAATGCCACCATGCTCCCAAACCCTCTGAAACTCTTGAGCCCAAATGAACCTTTCCTCCCTTAAGGTGATTCTGTCAGATATTTTAGTCAGAGCAACACAAAAGCAACCAGTATAGGCATTAGCAAATGCAGTGGGTGGTAAGGAAGCACCGGATGTCGAAGGCTGTGCGCCTGGGAAAGCCAACTAGAGGAGCCAGACTAGAGCTGGGCCATGAAGCAAGTACAAGGCAGTGTGTGGAAGAAATAGATTAAGGAGGCCCCTGAGGTTGAGTTCATGAGTTGGACTTCAGCCAGCCAGGGTAAGCCACCGAAGGCCTCTGAGCAGGCTGGTGGGAAGCCTGTCTGGATGGATGCAGGATATTTTGCTGCCTAGAAGAGGAAACAAGAAAGCCAAGGTGAAAGCAGAAGTGCCCTGTGGTCTCCACTCAAATAGCCACGTGGGAAACAGGAGGAATGGGAATCAGAGAAGGCAGTGGTTTTTTTGGATGTGAAGGAGATAAAGAAGCCAGGGAAGTGGGGCCAGGACACCAGGGAGCAATCCCAAGGGAGCCCTGCAAAATTCATGTTTGCTCTTATACTGTGGCTGCATCTCGAGCTCTACTGTCCCAGGCCCTTCTCCAATCTATGATCTCCTGATAGGTTGAGATTTTGAGTTAGACACAACTCTGCAGTGCTATTAAGTGGTGGAAATGCATCACCATCAAGAGCTTTACAGCTGTCCATTGTTTAACTGAGTTGTTATTCTTTATACATTATGGAATGAATACTTTGTCTATGTTACAGATTGCAAATATGCCCTTCCCATTTATCTTTTTTTTTTCCTTTTGACTTTGCTTATGATGGTATTCACCGTATCAGTTTAAATTTTTATGAACTCACATTTATCGTAGCAGGAGATTTTTTTAAAGCAAAGAGTCCTGACACCAATACTGTTACAGACTAACAGTGAAGCATAAAAATACATTAGTACTGACAACAACACTAATAAAGACTGCAAGAGCCAACACTTACTGAGCAGGCAATGTGCTGAGGGCGTTCTGTGAGCGATACACGTTCATAATCCCAAGAAACAGGTGCTAAGATGATTCCTCATCTTATAGTGAGTGTGAGGCTAGGAAGGCTGCAGTAACTTGCCCAAGGGCACGCAAGTTGCTGGGGTTCAGAACATACCACCCCATAAATGGTACTATGGCATTTGAAGGAAAGTCGGGAACAGGAAGATTTCTCTTGCCTTCCATGATCCCTCTTCCCCTGAAGCAGGTCTTAAGACATACTGGAGAGACTCTCTTCCTGTGCCTGAGAAAACAGACATTCTTTGTGAAGATACAGGACACCCCTTGTTAATGCTGAGGCTCAGAAGATCATCTCCCAAAGTGTGGTGCTTTGGAATGCCAAGCACTCTGAGCTGAAGGCCAAGCACTCTGAGCTGAGACACTGCCTCAGATTCAAAACCTTTCTGGCATTGCTTGATTTCCCCTCAGTGCAGGAATGGGTTTTCTGATCTTCCATTTTTGACTCAGGGAACTCTGTCAAAAAGTAATGCAACTTCCCTAAACCCCTTCCTAGGAATCTCCAGGTTTCCCCAGGAAGAAGACACCAAAAGTCCTCATGATGATGCCCAGACAGACTTACCTATTCTGAGGACAGCTGGGGGCTTCATCTACACTGACTGCCTACAGTTCTGCCCCTCTCCCCCCAGGTCCCTGGGGAATGCCCA